AAAGACCCCTGTATTTGCTTGTCAGTGGTAATGGTTTCTGACATTGTTTCCAAATATTTCTATCTCGTGAGTGTGACATTTACTTGTCTAGTTAAAGTGCTTGTTGTATTCATTCGTAAAAAAACCCACTGATTTTGGACATTTGAGTTCCCCTTATATTCATTTTGCTATCATATCGAGCCAGTTATCAAACACCTGAATGCAATCAGTGCCTCTGTAAGTTGCAATATTATGCGTTGATTTGATATGTAAATAATCATAAACAACAGAATGAATTTGTAATATCTTAATTTTACAACTTATCCCATATCAGACTTTATAATAAGCTGTCTTAATTCTTCAATACAGCAAAAAAGAATTAAAATGTCATCATGCATTTTTAATTTCTACTATTCTGACTGGTCTACGGTGCTTGTCATAAGCTATTTTTTTATACATATTCAAACATTTATATATGAACTTCCTCCAAGTACTTTATACATATCCGGGATTAATGAGCCATTGCCATCAGTAACTTCACTTGAACTGCATGTGTTTCATTCAAATACGGGAATGGCATGCCTATAAAGAAGATGGTTTTGTCTGTCTCTATATTGAAGTTCCTGATATGGCACACATACACATATATTGCTTATGATATGCAAATACAACAATATACAACCTGTGTATCTTGTTTTTGCAGCACGTCTACTGTATCATTTATTTCCGTGACAAGATTTAATAGCACCGACTTTTTCTGGAGTCCAGGGCATTTTTTGTTGGTGTTTTTCCTCTTCTTATTTAAATTAGCGTAATCTGGAAATTTTATCGACAATGGGTGTTCCCGGTAGCTGTTAAAGGAAGTTATTGACACTAATTATTGTAACAGTAAGATTTTAAAAGCTATATGTCACGTTGTGTGAGATAATTTGCTAAAAATTCCTGCCTCATGTTTACAAATGTCTTCTGAAAGAATTTGTAATACAAAGTACTTTGTGCAATATCAATCCGTGTTATATAATCTCACAACATTAGACCGATTCTGAAACAAAGAAATTATCTGTCTTTGCCTGAACCATTGCGTCACAGTTAAGTTCGCGTTTAATTCACAGAGAACCTTGCCGCGGTGTTAAGAAACTGCTTTTTTTTTGCAATTAGCCAGTGATGTCACCGATCGGCTTTGGCTTAGAGACCGGAAAAGCAGACATTATAACATATCGATGCTACTACACAAGATAATTTTCAAAACGTGACTGCCGGTATCCAATCAGAACTAAGGTAATAAAATTTTGGACTGGTTTCTCACGCAGCCAGACATTATCCTGTTACATTCATTTTCAAAGAGTCAGTACAGTTTTGGATGTGACGAACGAAACGTCACGTATTCCGAGAGCAATCGGGCACTCGTAAAAAAAGGGCAGAGAAAAGGAATTCTAGGAAATTCGGACGAGATTTGAAACAAATGCTTTTGAGATAAAATATCTTCGCCCGAATCTCTTTCACTTTCCTAACTAGGTGTCGTAAGATTTATACATTATTATGAGCATTTAATTTAGTAGAAATTTAATCTTCTATGTATAGCTAAATTATTGACATGTCGTAATTCAGCGAATAGCAAATTACTAATATTCAAGATTAATGCAGTTGTTAGGATAGAATCGAAACGGATGGTGTATAACTGAATTATAAACAACAGAATGAATTTGTAATTTTTGAATTTGTCATAAACTATTTTATACATATTGAAACATATTTATACATGAACTTCCTCCGAGTACTTTATACATATCCAGGAGTAATGCGGGTCACATATCTAATGAGCAATCAGTAACTACACTTGAACTGCGTGTGTTTCATTCAAATACGGGAATGGCATGCCTATGCAGAAGATGGTTTTGTCTGTCTCTGTATTGAAGTTCCTGATCTGGCACATATACACATATATTGCTTATGACATGCAAATAGAACAATATACAACCTGCGTATCGTGTTTCTGCATTACCGCAACTGTATCATTTATTTCCGTTGCAAGATTTAATAGCACCGACTTTTTCTGTAGTCCAGGGCATTTTGTTGGTGTTGTTTTTTTGTGTTTTTTTTTTTCCTCTTCTTATTTGAATTAGCATAATCTGGAAATTTTTATCGACAATGGGTGTTCCCGGTAGCTGTTAAAGGAAGTTATTGACACTAATTATTGTAACAGTAAGATTTCAAAAGCTATATGTCACGTTGTGAGAGAAAATTTGTTAAAATTCCTGCCTCATGTTTACAAATGTCTTCTGACAGAATTTGTAATACAAAGTACTTTGGGCAATGTCGATCCGTGTTATATAATATCTGTAGGAGAATTGAAACCGAGTGGGATTTCTCTGTCTGGACTAAATAAATAACGACAACTACAAAGCGATGAATGATTGGAATTTATGCAATGAAATATTAGATATATATGTGAACATAAACAAATACACTGAATCTCACACTTCTGTCATACAATTGATGCAATTTATCCTACATAAACTCATGAAATGATAAAGAAAGAAAAAAGTACAAATATATGATTTATTGGCCTCTAGCTTAAAATAAAAGGCATGAATATACTATGTGTCATGTAAAATGAAAAATGATATTCGCTTAATCTCTTGTACGCTTTAAGCTTTGAGATTTACGAAATCTCTTGAGATAAAACAGACAAAAGGAAAATGGGCAATACTCATAATGTTATTACTGTTGTTTTGACTCAACAATACTGCGCTCAGCTAAATACACAAATAGATGAACACGCATCACTGTAAACTGGAATTCACTTGATAAACTGTGACTACAGTTTATTCAATATACGAACTGGAACTCTGCAGTTTCACTGGATCCCTTTCTTATCGATCCACGTTCATATACATCACAGATCCGTTATATGTATTCATTTACATACATACATACATACATACATACATACATACATACATACATACATACATACATACATACATACATACATACATACATACATACATACATACATACATACATACATACATACATACATACATACATACATACATAGACGTAGACAGCATGTTGCAATACAGATAGCTACATCCAATCCAACCATGGATAGCTATAGTCAGTTCTTATCGGACACTGAATCTCCCATAAGACTTCGTCAGTTCTAATAAGACTCAGTCAGTCCAATATTGTCCAATAATGTCCAAAAAGCTCCCATAATGTCCATTAAGCTCCCATAATGTCCACTATCCAATAGGCCACAATAGTGTCCACTTAGCTCTCAATAGTGTCCTCTAATGCCCAATAATAGTTTCCAACAGGCTATAATAGGCTAAAACAAAACAAAACTATTTATTACTAAAATGGTAATGACAAAGCAAGCAGTGTTACAAAGGTTTATCACTCGACATAACATAAAACCGAGTAAAGGTTTCACAAATCAAATAAAACAAAACTTTGACACTTACCCCTATGTCCTGAGACGATGGTGGAATGTTCGCCCACCACTGACAAAATCCAAATGACTTGTGTCTCAGTTCACAATGTATCAAGCTTAAATCCATAGGAGTGAATAATAGTTATGGTCAAATGTTCGTGTAAAGCATGCTATTCCGTGACTTTCTGCCTGCATGTCATTTCGAAATCATTTTACCTGGAGCGGAGTGATTCACCCCAGGTAACGTTGTACGCTTGTAGAACAAATAAGGTGAAAAATAGATTCAAGGCAAAACCAAGTTGTTTATAGCCTTATTCTGTGACAATATCACAACATTAAACCAATTCTGAAACAAAGAAATTATCTGTCTTTGCCTGAACCATTGCGTCACAGTTAAGTTCGCGGTTTATTCAAAAAGAACCTTGCCTCGGTGGTAAGAAACTCTGCTTGTTTGCAATTAGACAGTGACGTAACCGATCGGCCTAGGCTTAGAGACCGGAAAAGCGGACAGTATAACATATCAATGTTACAACACAAGACAATTTTCATAAAGTGACTGCCGGTATCCAATCAGAACTAAGGTAATAAAATTTTGGACTGGTTTCTCACGCAGCCAGACATTATCCTGCTACATTCACTTTGGAAGAGTCACTACAGTTTTGGATGTGACGAAAGAAACATCACGTATTCCGAGAGCAATCGGGCATTCGTAAAAAAAAAGGGCAGAGAAAAGGAGTTCTAGGAAATTCGGACGAGATTTGAAACAAATGCTTTTGAGATAAAATATCTTCGCCCGAATCTCTTTAATTTCCTAACTAGGTGTCGTAAGATTTATACCTTATTATTTGTATTTAATTTAGTAGAAATTTAATCTTCTATGCATAGCTGAATTATCGACATGTCGTAATTCAGGGAATAGCAAATTACTAATATTCAAGATTAATGCAGTTGTTAGGATAGAATCGAAACGGATGGTGTAATCTACCACTATTTTGCATCGTGGTGCATAACTGAATTTAGTATTGAGTAGTGTTAGAACTTGCACTTGTTTGCATTTAAATATATAGTTGGTGATTGTGTAGAGTTAAGCTTTGTTGGCCTTGTGCACGTATAACAAGACATTTCTATATTTGTATGCGTCTATAATTTGTAAGGTAGGAACTATTTAGGATTATTGCTGTGTTGATAGTTTACTATATCGAAAATGGTAGGGATATGTGTGTATCAGAAGTCGTAATATTAGTGTTGTTGTTATAGCCTTTTTTGTAGAAAAAGCGTGTGCTGAATATCTAGATGTGGGTGTATTAGTTGATGTTACGATTTAATTGCATTTAGGCTGATGAAAGGTCTGTGAGAGTGTGTTAATTCTCATGTGATTGAGCAAGTAGACAAAATTGTTACGTCCCTAATAAGCCCTAGGAAGTTTTCCGGAAAATTAGGGCATCATGCCGCAGACATGTAGCATGATGTCCCACCCAGTCAAATTATCCTGACACCAGGCCGACCAGTCCTAACACTAACCTCATAATGCTTAGCGTCAAGAGAGGCAGCTGTTAGTACAATTTTTGTAAGTCTTTTTTTATGACTCGAATGGGGATCGAACCCACAACCTCCCGGTTCAGAGGTGGACGCTCTAACCTCTCGAACCACTAGGCCACCGGAATGTTTAGACAGACGATGGGAAGAACACAGGATAATAGGCAGTTGTGCGAAGGCGCGGGGTTGGGAGAACAGAAACAAAGGTACTGGAAGTACCTACAAGGCTGAAATGGTAGATGAATAACACACAGGGGACACGGGGAAGAAACACTCTCACCTTTAATTTCCTGTGATGAAATAACTGGCACTTTCAACAGGTCTTATATTGATTGGAAGCAATTGCATTGAAAAAAAAAAGACATTGTACTGTACATGTTGAATACCGTGATAACGTTTATTATATTGTTATACGTTTCACCTTATTATTTTTTAATACTTTATACACCTCTGCCGACTTTTAATTGTCCGTCCTGGGGCCCCGAATGGCCGAGTGGTCTAAAGCGCTGTCAGTTACGGATCACTGCCATCTCGCCTCTGTCTGCGTGTGTTCGAGTCTAGGATTTGGCGAATGTGGATATGTGAGAAAGCTTGCCAAAAGCTTCTGGTAGGTCGGTGGTTCTTTCCGGAGATTTACCGGTTTCTTCCTCCACCATTTATACTGGCCGCCATGAATAGCTTATCGTGTGCTGAAAAATGGCGTTAAGCCCAACAACAACAACAACAACAACAACAACAACCAAAACAATTGTCCGTCCTTCTCCGATGTTAGTAAAACTCCGCAGGGGGCACGTAACACTATACTAGTAGGTACTAAATACATGACCATACAAACACATTAAATGTTTATAGCTATTATATTAGTTCTAATAATACGGGCTGCTGCAAGGTAAATATCTGACCAAGTGTTTCAATAATGCCGAGATATCGCTCTTCTAAAACAAACGCTCGACCCATATTTTAAACGCGGACATACGTGAACCGACTATGCAACATTAACACATTATCTAACATTTATCAGTCTAAACAACACGAAATCGATATCTTAATACTCAACATCGGGTTGATAATGGAGTATAATGTCCACGTGTATAGGGCACTATATCTTACACTTATTATCTATGGACACCAACGATTATTTAAGAGGCGATCTTAGCTAATATAACCTTAATACTATAAACTCTGTGGGCAATGAAATGTCAATACCTTGGTACATTACTTAAAAGTATGGTCTAACGAACAAAATTAAAGTTTACCTTTCGTACAAAAGCTAACAATTTCATCTCTGTATACATTTTGTTATAACATGACACATGTATTGCCATTTCAAAAATCATTATATACCAGTTTAAACGAAAATAACAAGTTCGTTATACATGTATTACCATTTCAAAACTCTAGATACCAGTTTAGACGAAAATAACATGTTCGTTATACATGTATTACCATTTCAAAACTCATTATATATCAGTTTAGACGAAAATCATTTGTTCGAAGATATGGCAAGCAAGTGAAATATTATTTCACACACACACACAAGAATAAAGACTAACACACTTAGAGAGACTTCATATAGCTTATTGTTCAAGAAGTTATATGAGACAACCTTTCTTAAACGTCTCCAAATTGCTTTAAACTTTCTAGTTAGTCCGTAGAGAATTTTATATTAACACATGGTCGCATAGTTTGAATGTATTGGAAACTACATTTGGATGCACTCAAGAGTGTTTGACATATCTTGTATCTATTTTCTCATCCCTTGGGATACTGCTATAGTGGGAATGACACGCGTGGATGGGTAGGTGTCCTCATATATCATGGAAAGTAGTAGTTATTTCGGGGTTTAGTCTGTTATGACAAATATTTTGAACTCGGATATTCCTGGCAATTTTCAATAGAAAGGAGTTTGATGTGTGTACTCAACATGAAAGAGAGAACTATATTATGATACACATTCAGGCTACTGGTCTTGTTAATTGTACGAATACGTTCAGGCTACCGGTCTGATTTTATGAGGAATATACAAAATCTTCCGAAGGCTTGTTGGTGTTCTTGTTTTCGGTTTAACGCCATTTCTCAGCACAGGATAGGCTATAAATGGGGGCCAGTATAAATGGAGGAGAAAGAACCGGGGAAAACCCCAATAAGAACTACCGACCCATGGAAAATTATAGGCAGTTTTCTCTTATGCCCGGCCCTATGATGTGCGGGGCCAAAGACAGCATGCGAGCCTAAGGAAGCAAGCGATGAGCTTTGAGCCTCAAGCAAACAAATCGCAGGCCCAAGGCGGGTGCCTCTTTTACCTTGCCATAGGGTTTGAAATACTTTCTCCGACCCACGAGAAGCTACTGGCAGCTTTCACAAATATAGTAGTAAATGAAAAATGAGATTTCTGGCTCAGAAACCCATTTCTCTAAATGATTCTAGGTCAGAGACCCCTACCCAAGATGACCATATCACAGCATCTCCAAGAATTTTTTTTTTACATCAGGAGGTTTATGGTTCTTGACCAGGGACCCTACCTCCGATGTCCAGAATGACCACCATCAGGTTGGCGGCAAAGCCGATTTTGTTTATAAAAATTAGATAAAATATTTTTCTCGGATTAATTTATAAAATATAGATAAAATTATATTAGAGAATAGAAACTATCATTAAAAATTGAATTTGAGAGGATTTTGATTTGTACCTGACCAACGGATCAAAATAATTGGATTAAATTTAACAAAAAAAGAGATCGTAAGATTCGAGTCCATGAAAATGGATGCCCATAACTTAAAATATTGGTAGCAGTAATTTTCTTCAAACTTTTGATGAGTCCTTTTGGATTTTACTTAAAACAGATGATGAAAAGTTGAAAGATTGGATGTCGGACCCTGATGCTGAGGCATTTGATTACGCATCAAAAGTCTCTCTAATAGGAAGAAACAAGTGTTAGTTGATGGATCTCGATTATTATCTTTATCTTAGATAAAAAAAATTCGAAGTGCTTTGCAATTTGGGATTATTTTATGAAGTTTAGATAACTTTTTGTCGGAATAATATATAAAGTTTAGGTAAAATTATGTCAGTTTGATTATTTCATACCATTATCTCCAATTATCAGTCTTTCAATGTTGCAATTAATAATATCTCATCGTTACTGTAGTAAAGATTGAAATTTATTCTACCCCTAACACAACGACGAGACTCAAAATAAATCTTTTATATACTGTTTATTAAGCGGATATATTTTGTCAACAAAAGAAACTTTTGATCGATCAAAGTTGATGGTGATCTTCGTATATTTATATTGACTAATATGCTTTTGAAAATTATTAAATCCTTCTGACGATTCCTTGCTTAATTTTTAAAGATAACTAAAATAATCACTGTCACCTGATCTGATAAGTGAAAATTGTAACCGGCTTTGCCTTTTCCTCTAAACATATTCTAGACGTTTCATTTTTAAATTTGAATGTAAGTTGTTTACCATCTTTCATCAGATATTTGATCTTGTTATTACTATTGTTTTCAACTTCTTTATTTTCCAGCATTATTTTATAAGTTCACACAAAATTTCATACCCTAGTCACAATGATTTAGTCATTGAATATAATATCAAGTACTGATATGTCGTCATTACATTATCGAAGTGCAAATGAATCTATTCCATTTTCGCAGTAGCGTTTGTCATCAAAATTACTCAATCCGCGTTTTATGATAACATCTGTTTCAAGTTTATGATGATTTGTTCGAATGGCCATTGTTGTTATAACCTATTGCCACCACGAGCGCCATCAGCGCCGAGTACGTACATCATTGAATCCAATAACTTTCTTAACGAAATCACGTGGTAAATATCAGATACCTCTCTTCAGCTTTGTTGGGGTGGGTTGTCTGGTTTTGGTTATCTAGATGTGATCATCGACGGTGTAATGTGCCCGAAACGAGTAAATATTAATATAAAGTAGGAGTGTGAAGGTGTGAAAGATATGGATGGAATAGATAAAAATCTGAGCAAGGGTACAGAACAGAATAACACATGTCCCTATTACAAATACAAATCATAACAGTTAACCAAAAATTCATAAGCAATAAAATTCATAAGCAATTATAATATTGCATTATGATTGGAAGATGCGTTTCTTTCTTATTGGAATTAACTTATTTAACGAATTTAAAAAACAAATATGTTTATACAAATATTACGTCTGTTACGCGATAGAATAAAATGATCATCAAATCGAGTGAAAGATCGAAAACATTGTCTTGTACAGTTCATAACCTGATGGTCTTGATTCAGGTGAATTGCGCAGCAACTGTCCCTTTTGACTTCCTTGTGCTGGTAAGTCCTGGTCTTCTCAACTTTTTCCCCTCCTTTTCCAAATTCTCGGGTGTCTCCCCTCTTTTACCCTTCCAGCTTTGTGTAGTCACTTTGGTTTGTAAATACGTGTTACGTCACGTCACGTGAAGCTATCTCACCTTCCAAAATAACAACAAGAAGCAACCTAAATCACATTATACTGGGGGAATATATTAACATTACCATCGTTAGGTCAGATATAATTCTATCAGAATTCAAATAGATACCAACGGGTATCTACTCTAATTGGCTATGACAGACCATAAACAAACTTAGTTTCACAAAATTAATTTTAATTGTCCTGCTAATGGCTATTCCAACATCCCACCGAGACATTAGTTCCAGTCTCGATTTAATTACACAAATGAATGAATGAAATTCCTTTCTAGGGGATAACTATAATGAATACACACAAAAATTTACCATACGTGAACCAACATAAGGTTGGAGAATTCATAAGGATTTTCGTAACTCATCGCAACTAAAATAAGGCATGAAATTCTAAATACATAATTTCCTATATTAAGACGATTTGTAAATGTATATAAAAATATCATTGTATGAATTCAGACAAATGAACTCAACGAAGTTATACTCATCTCAAGAAAATTGATCTAGAAATGTAATCAAATAAATCCATGCAAATACAAGCAAATAAATCAAACGAAGCATCATACTAGTATCAAAGAAATGCTTACGATTGTGCTTTTAAGCTCTTACTTTGTGTCTGCCGATTTTCCAGACAATTGATTCCCTTGTATAATGTTACGAGTGA